CAGCTAATGCAGATGGACCAATAATAAATATTAACAAACCCAATGCCATAAAACATTGAATAGGAACAGCCCAAAGTAAGTGAATGTAACCGCATGCAAAGTCTACATGCGTAGTATCAGTGGACATTAGATTAGTGATTTTTCCATTAGTAAATAAGCATCTTGCTTTTCCACTTAAGACTAAAGCTTTCCGATAGATAGCAGTTATGAGAATAGTGCGAGAGAGAAAACCGACTTCCCTTGCACAATAAAAATAAAGGCTTTGCAAATGGTTACCGCACAATAGCATTAAGAACAAGGCAACGATTAATAAGTAGCCAACATGAGCAGGGGGGTTGCGAACCGTTATAAAAGTTGGAAAAGTATGCATCAGAGACAAAGGTTAAAATTAACTAAAGTATCAGGAATATTAAGAAAACTTTATCTTGTCGAGACATGTTATAATTAATTGCATGAATGAAGGTATGGTATGTGTGAAACATACCTTTAAGATCAATGGTGAAGCAACCATTAATGTATAACTAAGAAATCTACAAAAAGCTGCTAAATAAAATTTAGGCCATAAAACCCTGTATAGAGCTTTTAATAAAGATGGATTCTTTCCTATTGCAATTTTTTGAGTTTCTTTTTTCCATTCGACTTCAAAATTATCGGTAACAATTTTAGCCAATCTCGCGTCATTCAAAACGTATAGGTCATCTTTTTCCAAGGGACGCCTATAACTTAAGCTCATTAAATCGTTGGCCCACCATAAACTAAGTACAGAAAATAAATTGGCTTTTGTCTCGGGTATTTCAATGTTTGGACGAGGAGGAGGAGGAGGATTTGAATTCCAAAATACCATTATTGCAATCCAATTAAGAGAAGAAAATTTTAGTTCAGGTGTTCGTTTTAAAAGGCAATTAGATATAGTAAATTATTTATAAAATATGTTCCTTTATGCTCTTTTGATCTTTTTTTTGATCAGATTCAAAAATAATAAAATCGAATTATTTTATATACATATATATGTAACATGTGTACGGGGTAAAATTTTTAATATGGGTCAAATGATCGACACACATAAATTTATATGTAAAATTTAGGCAAATTTTGCTTTATAGGCTTATTTAAAAACAAAGAAGTTGTCCTAGCATTTGAAGGTTTCTTACGAAATTTTAAAGGTGGTTAATAATAAAATTGAGAAGATCATGATCACGAAGTTGGGCAATTTTTTTAGTGATGTACATCATTTAAATAATAAGGAAACGTCTACTGTACATATTAAATTTTTTTAATTGATGTTTACTTAGCAAAAATACTATTCCTGATGGATCGGCAATACCGATCTTTGATGGTGTTAAAAAAAAAATTTATTTGAGTACTGTTCCTGATAGGGTTCCATAAACGAACCCTAATCCTAACTTT